TCTTTTCTCCTGCTCAAACTTATCGGCCAGGCTCGACCTTTGAGAAGCTAAAAATATCTTCACATGCCCCCGCCCACCCGCCCCCCCCCCCCAAAAAAAAACCCAGAGCTGTAACAAAATTAATTAAGTAGGATGTCTATTTGTCAGTTAGCTGCATTTTGTACGCTTTTCCAGTTCCTGCCATTTTTCTAAGGTTAAAGTTCGCTCACTTTAGACCGAAACACTAAATAAAATCCTTAATCAAATCATAGTTCGGCAATCATGTCTTTTTATCAGTGCTCCAAGGTGTTGTTGTCCAGGCCATCCCCTCGAGACGAGGCGCAATAAATTAAATTCCATTTCTTCCTTAAGTGTCAGTCCACTCATGACCCGAGTTTGATCTGACAAAACTACTCATAAAAATGCCCAGTTGTTACTAAAATGCTTTTTAAGCAGATTGACCTTTTACTAAACCTGATTAACCCCAGGCACGAAATTTACCACGTGTTTGTGGATAGGTCTCGTTTGAAAGGCCTCGCTGAATTCAGAAAAATCGGACCTTGGGTTTCAGATAAAAATCTATATAACCTTTTGTCGTCAAGCATTGAGTACATTTGCATTTGTCACTGGTACACCGAAAAAGGGCTTCCATTTATACCGATGGTAAAATCTACCAAGACGAGAAATACACACAATGCAACCTGCCGTTGAGGTTGCCCGTGCAGCTCAGAAAAAAAATAGTGTGTTTTAATACACCGTTCCTTTCGTCGATGTGACAAATTGTACTTAACGTTAAAAACAAAACAAAAAGGTTCCAATATTGAAATATCAATTGATCGCTTTAGGAAAGGTTTCTGCTATGTTAAAAACATAAGACAAACTTTCTTCCAAAGTTCCTTCAACATTATTTGAGCTAAATGCTTTGGTTGTATCTCCACCTGATTTTTAAAAAATTAGAAGTTTTTATTAAGAGTAAATCCAATACATGGGCAATTTGTATTCAGTCATCGGGAGCGACGCAAAATATATCTATATTTAGTAAAACGTCATAATTTGATACAAGGTATCAATGTTGAAGCTTTTCAAACACTTAACCGTGCATGGCGCAATGAATGAAAAAGCCCGGATGTTGTAGACAGCAGGTCCGGGGTTTCTACAATACAGACACTTTGCACAGAGCGCCCTCACTGAGGAAAGAATTTCGCTCCTCTGTGATACGCATCAGGAAATACTCGACTTTAATTAATAAATATATCCTCATACAATGCCAAGTAATCCAAATCCAGCAATGCATGAATGATTCAATCTACAGTCTCGGGTCAGCAACACAATTCGTTTATTCCGAAGTGAGGAGCAGTCGATTATGCAAAATGCTCATATTGCTTTTGTAGGGTCGATTGTGTTTAGTTGATTGGGTTTGTATAATCACAAACATGGGCAGATATCGGGGCCGGTGAGGGGGGGCCATATGTTTTCACACATTGTTAAATAGGTGATTTGAAATCTGATTATTTTTCGAATCATGTTTAAAGATCATCAGAATGGAGAAAGCTTTGGAGAAAATCCTTTTCTTTTGGATTGCATTTACATCTAAACTATGACCCTGAAACTGGAGGAGCCACCAGAATCGGGTTTCAAGCTGACCAATCACATTCGTTCTCCTGCGCCTGGTGGCCGGTCTAGGCCTACTTCAAGAATTTAGAAGAAAGGTTCCTCTTTTTGTTAAAAAGTTTAAAGGAAAATTGATATTTATTTTCAAATTAGATCTCGTATTGGCCTATTTTCTGCGTGTTGACCTATTTTCCGCACTAATATTTTATGAGAATTGATCCCAAAAAAAAAAAAAATATTTAAAAAAAATAAAAATGGTCCACTGTTTCCATACGTTGTCACAAACATTTTATTTTTTTATTTTGTTATCCACGCATACATTCTTTAAAAAAAATGACATTTGTTTTAAATCATAAAATATTATTCAACTGAATCAAAGCAGACAACAACTTCAATGGATGCCTCTTTCCTGAGTGCCCAGCCCATACATAAAATGGCCAAACCTGTTGCAAACAACAAAATAATTTAGTTCCGTGCTCATGTTGCCCATACAAAATGGCGCACAAAATTGTATAATTAACAACAAATTGGTCGACAGATTTAATCAAGTATCCAAAAACACAAAAAAAAACGTTAAAAGGATTACATTTCCTGCTTTTGTAGTGTAGCTTTAACGAAATTAGTTGATTCGTTTTTTCTTGGTCACTTTTTGCCTTTGTTCCTTTTCTCAGGCATGCACGGTAACAATTATGGACTTCGTGTCTTTCAATTATGGTGCGAGTTACGTTACAGCTGATGTTACAAGGTGAAGCATTGACGACTACAACTCATTCGCACTGGCCAGTTATGTTATAACTCTGGCGACGTTGGATTAATTTTCGCAGACATTGCAGGGACTGTCTCTCCCAAAGTGGAATTGCTCTCCTGGAAAAAATCCATAGATCATGCCGGACGGACATTGCACCTCGGCTTTGAAAATTAAAATTGATCGAGTTTGCGTCTTTCCATCCTGAACAGCGGAGCGGTCAAACGGGTCGAGGTATTGCATAGGTTTCGCTCGTGGCTCAAAATAAGATACCGGTATACACTGTCTTGCCTTCAGTGATTTTTCAATTATAATGAATATGCCTACGGCTAAGCTGTCTCGCGCATTGCAAATAAGTTAGAATTTTTGTTTTGACCAAAAGTTGTCAGTGAACTTATTAAAACTTATATCTCGATTTCCAAAGAATGAAACTCGGGACCAGACGAGTAAGAGTTAAAATCACTCTAATTTTAGATTGAAAAAGGATAACTTCAGTCGAGTCTCGAGTGAAAACTCGAGCTATATTCGACTGAATGAATTTCCCCCTAAAAAGTCTTGTCCTTAGTTTGAGTGAGGTGGAGGGATTTTTCACTCGAATACAGTGAATATTCACTCTTGGGAGAAAAAAATAAGGAATCTCAATACCTGCGTCAACATGACATCAAAGGCCCCAAATTTGAATAAGATGTTCTCAAATGAAAGCTTTCCTTTACCTGTGGATTGAGTTATTTTCAAGGTTCCTTCATTCGATCGACGGAACAAAAAAGTGTCAAGTTTTCATTTCATTGTTTCACATCTGTCCAAAATAATCAATATCCGACCGCGGGTCAGTTTATATTAACATTCACTCCTTCAGGCGCATGCCCGGTTTTCTTTCGTCTTTAACGGCAATTCTTTCAGGGGAGCAATTTCTTGTAATTAAGGTTATTCTGCGATAGACGGCCTTGATTAAAGCTGAGCATCTCTCATCATGTCGTTGGAAGTAATCAGGGGAGATAGGAGAATGATGATGCCCGGCAGCCGTGTAATTAAAGCCATGTAGGATCATTTGCAATTACCCGGAAAAAAGTATCTACCGATTTAATGACAGAAACCTTGCACAAAGTGATGGTAGTACTGACATCAAATAGCCTGAAACGGGTATCGTTATCGTTTGTGGAAGAAAACTAAAATCGAAGGTGGTTTCAAATATAGGGTGCTCGCGTCATCTACGGAATCCGTTTACGAGACCCCCAAAATGGCGCACATTGTTTCTCTTTTTACTTAAAACATGTATACATTGAAGTATCCATTGAGCTGAAACTTCAACAGGTTGTAGTTTTGGGACTCTATCTAGTACTAAACATTTTGTGCCATTGCAATTATTTTGCTTGAAACGAAAACAAAATGCGCAAAAAAGGAAGTGATTCTACGTTACCTTTAATGTAAACCGCGGATTGCCCGGACCAAGCAACATATTTCACACAAACCAAAAAAATCTGCAGCAAAAAAAAATGCCCGCTGTGGAGACTCCGACGAACCGGGCAACGCGTCCGGTTTTGTTATAGGACCGGGCTCCGTGGGATTGGTTACCCGGTAGTGAGACGATAAAAATAATGTAACAAAATCTGATTTTTTTCCCCATTAGGTGGCCAGTAATGGTGAAAGTACTTAGAATCGACCTTTCGTAGCTAAGAAACGGGTAAAGTTGCAGTCTCGTCATTGCCATTATACCAATTATAATTAGTAGCCATAAGCAATAACCATGCATACCGGTGTGTGCGGAACCAGCCTATAAGCATTTCAGCGCATAATTAAGTCCATTTATCTCAAAATACGAATTGTCAATAAGCAGCCAGTCAAATTAGAGGTGAAGTGTTGATAAAAAACAAAAAAGAAGTCAGATTTTGCTGGAACAAATATTCAGCTATGATTATTTACTGGAACATCTGCGATGTATGAAAATCTATCGTTAAAAGCTAAAACGATCATTGCATTATCCCTGTATCGATTTTTCTATCCAGTCAGTTCTTGGTGACAAAGAATAGTAATTTTTTACGAATTTGTTTTATGATTGAATATAAAAGACGCCACTTCGTCAAAAGTGTGTGGGAGTCTCTAAAATTGAGAGATTTTTCTTCCCCCCAAAAAAATTAAAAGAGGGAGGGGGCTTCTGGGAGACCCTTTGAAACGCAATATGTCAGTTCGCCGACGGCGAGAACCCTTTGATGGCAAATTATATAAATTAGCATAGGGGATTACATTCGAATTAACACTGACTCCACGTTCGCAACAGATGGTCGAGGTGAATTAAATGAGCATAATTAATTTGGTTTTGCTGAAGGTTAAATACAAATCAGAATTTGTGCCATGTGGTGTTGGGTGTTTCGTGTTAACATGAAATGTTTAACACGTTAATTAAAAAAACGACAGTCTTAAGCTAATACGCTTACATTTACTTTTCGCATTCCGTTTTAATGCTAATTGTTATACAAATTCACTCTGTTTTACTGAATCATTCATTAAGGAATCTTTGATTCAAAAATCGTTAACGCTGCACTTATAATTTAGGTGTTTGTCTCTTTGTCTTTGAAACTTAAATTCCCATGATCTATTTCAGTATGGAAAGGTTGGATATAATTGTCTTCTTGTCTTAGAGAATTAGAATCTCATCAGGTCTGCTTACCTCTCCAGGCGACTCGATCCTTAGTGTCTGTCCAGTCTCTGCCACTCGTCCCACAAACCCCTCCCCTGGGGACAGCATAACTCCTCTCTCCTGCCACTGGGAGATTCCTTTACTCCCATTATTACTCTCCCGAATCTCTGAGGCGAACCTGTGGGGCTTGCTGACCAGCATCTCCCTGCCTTTCGGTCCTTCCAGGAGGAACAGGGAAGTCCGCTCGCTGTTGACCAAGATGCCGACGTTGGTGCTGATCTTCTCGCGAAGGCTGTCCAGGTTCAGGTCCTGGGAGATGTCCTTGACCAAGGCCAGGAAGAACTGCCTCTCGTCGGTGGAGCGCAGCTCTAGCTTGGCCTCGTTTGTGATGCTGGTCCGGTGAGGGAGCCGCACCTTTGGCTCAAGCAGCAGGCTGAGCATACTGATGGAGTGTCTCTCGGGCGGGACCGTGGAAGCCCGTCTCAGCTGACCCCGTCTGCAGTTGCTTGGATCCCTGGGTGAGGTTGGTCCTGAGTCCTGGTCCGGATCGTCGTTATCTGTGCAAGCCGGAGAAGGAGAGGCCCAGGTATTAAATAACGTCCTCGACCTGGCCTTGGCGAAGTCCTGTCTCAGGTATTGTCTGGAGCCGGACCGAGGCCTGATGGGATTCGCCTCCTCGTTGTTATTATCCGTCTTCTCGTCGCTCTGAGAGTTGGTGCGGCTTTTGCTGTTGCTGAGCTGTGCGTAAGTGACCCGCCGCTGCGTGGAGGGCGACAGGGCCGGCTTCAATCCGAAGTTATTGGGCCCCGATCCGATCATCTCCCCCTTGTGGGACTCGATCCACCGCTGGACCAACTTCTTGGAACCGTTCTTCAGAAAATAGTCCTCGAACCACTCCTGGTTCTCCTGGAGCCAGACTTCGACCTGCTTGGGTGTCGGCGACGTAGCAGACATGCTGTTCACTGTTTCTTCCTCGTCTTCTTCCTCGGTACCATAGACCAGCCAGAGTAATCCTGTCCACGCGGTGCGCAGAAAATGAACGGGCACGTCGAGACAACGGTATGCGCTCATCAAAATTCAGCGTGTGCCTGAAATATTTTGACAGAAGACAGATCGTTTCTTTTGAAGGGGAAAAAAGTATCACACAGAATCCGATAACCGCTCACCAAAGCAGCCTAAAACCTTACCATATCAACAATGACGATAGGTGTTCCTACACTGATCCCATGTATTTTCCTGAAACAACCAACCTGTGGATGCACACTCTAACTTGTTCCTCACGCGAAAAACATATTTTAATATCGAAAAAAAATGCGGATTATAATCAGAACAGCGCTGGCTAGCGGCGACCCGATGACGGACGAGCCCAAAGCATAGTGTTATCCGTTGCCGTGATGGGAGTGGGATGTAGCACGATGGGCCAGCAGCACGGTCTATAGTCTTCCTATATCTTCCAGGGGAAAAGACTCGTTAGCATCGGTACTGATGGATCGGAGTTTATACGGTCTGAGGCTGGAGCACGCGGCGAGCCGAGCAAGCCGCAACCCATAAAATGATAATGTTGCGTGGTCGATTCGCCCGTGGCTACAGAGACAGCGGATGTGCTTGCATCTACACACACCGCCAATCCAGTGACGTGATATAGTGGCGTTGTTTCCTCTCCCTGTGGACTTGCCTCACACCGTCATCATGTCGTAGCTACTCGGTGCTGTCATCTCCACTCTATCCATTAACTTGGTCGTGTCGTACGACTTACCGACCGCTTTTTTCCCTTGCCCGTGTGTATCTCTCACTCTCTCTCGGTGAGGTGGCAGAGAAGCGAATAAATACACATTACAGGTGAGTGGATGAGCGATGCATGGAGACGTGCTCGCTCCCACGATGATGACGTGACACCAACACGTAGGCCTTACAGCTCCCTGTCAAGTTGAATATTCGTGTGTGTAATCATCGGTCACGCAGGGAACCACGCAGGAATTGTCCAATGGGGAGGCAGGACCGTCTCATCAGCCTCATAGCCCCCAAGCCACAGCTCTATAATATCACGATCTTATTTCCTCGAAAAAACCTATTCCCTTGGGTGGTGCGAGGATAATCCACAAGTCCACCACTGTGTCAGGCGATGATTTCATTACAAACGGATCACACTTTACTTGGTTTTAGTATTGTGTAATATCTTGGCTTCTAAATGGTAAAACATGAACATTTCGGACCTCCCTCACCTCAGTGGTACATATATCATTTGCTTTGGGTTCATTTCTTTTTTGTTTGAAGCAATACAATTGCTAAAATCTTCTTAAGTAAGGTACGTAACAACTAACCTGTTGAAGTTTCAGCTCAGTGGATAGCATACAATTCGGGTCTCGTAACTGGATTCCTTGCTAAGGGACGTAAAAACAGTGTGCCCGCAGGCAAACTATTTTGACACAACCCCTGAAGTTAGTTTTGTTCCGACTGACACCATTTCAGTCGGATTAATTTCATGGGGTATTAGATACCGGTCCTATCTTCACTCTTAGCAAGGATTCTGTCATTAAATCGGTAGGTACTTTTCCTGGTAGTACTGCAAATGATCATATGGCTTTAAGCAATTAGACAGACGCCGTTAATGTCCAGGTGTAGTTGAGTGCTGTGGAAAGCGGCTCCGGATGTGCATTTGCATATATTTTTTTTGCAAGTATAGGCTCATGAATAATTTTAAATTGTACCGTGATTATACGTCATTTGTTCGAACTGTAAAACATTAAAAACCTTATCGAAAAAACCCAGTAGGCTTATACAGTATAAATCTACTTCAGTCCTACTCTGAAAAAAATATACTTTGAGTCTCCTTACCAGAGTTTATTTTCCTCGTGTCCGCGGATTCCTGAAATTTTAGTCTTTATTTAAATGCGAATTATTATTGCTTCAGACTCATTCTGATGTAACTCTGTCGCCTCGTAATATTCGATGTTAATGAGAGGCAGGCTTTGGAAATAACCTCAGGATGGAGGTAGTAAACACCCACGGTCATTAGCCTCGAAATTGACATCACGCGTGATGTTTGTTCTTTTACGCCACTTGTTGCATACGGCCGGTGTGGACCAGTGAACAGGCGCAAAATTGCCTTCGCCGGTCAAATCAGGATTGTATATGGCCTACTGTCATTTGTTTTCTCTCTGAATAGAGAGTTTGCACTTGAGTGTCACTTGTAGAAATGAAGACTCAGCTCTAGACAGGTCCTTGAACTTGTATTTATGAGAAATTTTGGATGAAATCGGACCTGAAAGTCGTTCTATTTTGTGATGGGGTGGAGAGATCATTTTTCAAAATGGCGATGGGCTTCAGGACTGCTTTTAAAATCACCCCAAAGTCATTGATTACCCCACTCCCGGAAAAAAGCCAGAAAGTTAAAGAGATTACATAAAGCTTTAATTTGATGTATGTCGTGATCACTCTGAAAGTTGTGAGTATTTTCCCCCAATTTTTTTTTGAAGTGGGAGTATTTTATCATTGGTGTTATGGGAATGTATTTCTTTACAGGTTAACTTTGTACCATACTGCCGCGCCACTTACGGCGTACGTGATTGTACACAGCGCAGCATGCGTGGTATAGTTCACGACAGGATGCAACCGCGTTTGAGGAACGACCGCCACGTGTAATAAACCTTTTACCGATGGAAGTTACGGTCATCGAATTAGAATTGCAAAACTATCGAATGGCTGAATTGGAATTAGAATTGCAAAGCTATTCCTGAGTATATTATTGAGAGATAATGACTTTTGTTCCGTTCAAGTATATAGGGTATAATGTTATTGCTTCCGAAGTTAAGCAAAAATGGCTGATTACATAATTTTTACAATTGTAAATGCGGCTAGTCGGATTATAAATTACCATTGGTAGTATTATTGGTTTATGGATGTTGTTTGTAATTTCATAACTCATCTCTTCATTTTTTTAGACGATGAGTCACGATGCAATATATCAAAAATACCGCCACTGATTCTTTCCGAACTCAGACGTGGAGTTATTGTGTAAAATAATAATAAAAAAAACATAAAGAATGGACTGGGCAGACTAGCTGATAAAAATAACAGACACAGACAAACAAACAACCCGACGAACGAAGGAACGAACAAAACTATAAAAATGCATACCCGCATAAGCCACAGACACTAAAGATCCCAAAGGTATGGATTGACAGACTAGAGTGTAAACGAAACCATTCCTGAAGTGATACAATACATGTATACGTATATTAGTTACAAATGTCCTTGTTCATTTGCAGGTACATGTACATCCGCTCGTATGACGTGATTTGCAACATATGATTCAGCGTATAGATTCCTTAATTTAATCTACCCGCATTAGTTATCCCATGCGATAAAATTTGAAGGGAAAAATCCTTGAATTGCACCGAATTCTTAGTGATTGTTCTGCCGTTTCTTGACCTTTTTTTATTTTGATGCTAAAAACAAAATGTTCATAATTCCCGAGCAAAACTTCGATGTCATCACAAGCTATACACACTGCTTGAGCACAACATGTTGCAAGTTTGTGTGTATATGTACATGGTGTGGACAATTTCATGGGATTCTTTGGTAATTAAGTGCACAACATTAATTTATGGACGAACTGTTACCACGATCTACATCCATTTTAGAAAGTTGAATAAAGAAATTGACTGGAGCGGGGTTTGAACCGGCGACCTCTATTAGGAAAACTCGTAAATGGTTAGATTTATAAAGTGAGTGCCCATAGAACAAATGCGAGTGCACAATAAGCTCTGGCGGTCTGGCATGAAAGTCTTGCATGAAATCTATCAAAATGATCCCTGCCAGAGCTTAACGCGGCGCCCAAAAACGCGACGCCGATGGCACATATGGAACACCATACTTCAGATGTTTACCTAGATTTATAGCAATTTGTGATGAATACCACGTGACTATAACATTACTGCTCATGTTTTGCCTCCATTTACAAACTTTTCATAAACATCTTTCCAAATTGTTACAAACAATTTTTGCTTAGTTTAATTTATTTCGTTTGCTTTTTTTTGAAAATTAATATTTGGTAGTTATATTTTGTGGGAATCTTATGGGGCCTTTATTTTGGTCAATTTTCCGGGGAGAGACCGACCACCAAGCGGCATGAAGAAGCTCCTGCCAAAGCTTAAAAGAACACGGGCATTGTTAGAATATTACGCTAAAGGCACTTTTAAAATCACCCAATAGCCTTTAAAAGCAGTAACCACTTTCTAAAGGTTGGATATGCGTGGGATGGATGTTATTTATGTTTGCGTGTGGTTTTTTGTTATAATGACGATGCTACTTACTATGCGTGTTAAAGGAAGGAATATGAGCGTATCGATATGAGGGTCTATGCAGCATGATTAATTAGCTCGGCTGATGCAAAAGTTAATTATACGGGTCAGTGCGCTCATTTTTAATTGGCAGAAAAAATGATTAAAAGAACTGAGCATAATGAGAAATAGTAGATAGTATTTATCCAATAATGCAGCTGTTATTAGAGTATAATGCCATAGGCCTACTCCGTATGGTGGCAGATAATACTCCGTTCAAGGCCTTTTGAGCGCAGACCAGTACATAAATTCCCATAGACACCAATGACAAATCCCCCGCCATTTAAAAAAATCAGGAAAATACCTAACAACTCTCAAAAGCGTTCAAAAGTATATTAATCCTCTTCCACTTTCTGTTCAATTTCTGCGTGGTTGACTGAGTTCAGGATGATTTTTCCCTCCTAAAAGTAGTCCTGAAGCCCATGCCTATCAAATGATTCCTCCACTCCGTTGCAACATCGAGCAACCGTTGCAGGTCCCATTTTAATATAGCTCTATGGTCCCATTTCATCCCAAATTTCACAGAAAATATATTCAAGACCGGTTCTGAACTTTGACCCTTCATTTTTACCAACCCTCAGGTGTAGGGGGCTACAAAACTCTCTATTACGTGGAAAAAAGACAGTTTGCAAACTCTGAAGTAGTCGGCGTAGGCAATGTTGTACCCATTTACTGGTCTGCACCCTTACAGTGCAGAAGCAGATACCAAGTAAGGAGTGTTTGATGAGCTTTGATGAAATGTACTGACCGACATGTCGCATGCAACAACACCTGCACGTGGTTCTCTAGGTAAAAGGGTTTAGTAATACGGGTTTACGCGATGGATTGAGGTGGGGTACGGAGATGGGAGCCGGGGTTGAATATTTCAGACTAATTTCGAGGAGGAGATGTCTCTCTGAAGACATTCTTTGTTATTTTAATCTAGTAACAATGCATGAACAAAGATTTACCCACGCCTATCCAAGCGATACAAAACCGATTGCCATCTAACTCCGCCTTAATGAATAAGGTCTATTGTAAGTGTGACAAGCTCCACGCCATTTTTCATCAGTTAAAAAAAAAAACGAATAAAAAAAAACGAAATTATTTTGAAGCGCTATGTTTACCGCTCGATTGTTTTCCTCGTTTTGAAATAAAACATACAAAATTGAAATCTCGTTTAGTAAAAAATCGAAGAGCTTGAAGAGCATGGGTGTAGCAACTATAAAGAAAGATGTAGGCCTAGGTTAGGCAATTTATTATGAAATCTTGTACAGTTTACTGCCCTCGCATATTCAGACAACAATTCAGTGTCACCAATTCAGTGTCACACCATATATCGCATTCTGAATATACCGACCCCTTGACCTTTCCGAGCAGACGTACCTTGGCAATCCTCAAGTCCTCATTTTCCCCCGATGCATCCTCACATGGATTGTCTTACCAGGGGGCTCTTATCTCAACTACGCCGGCAGCCCGCGCGTTTCGACATGAATTTTCATGAGGGCGTCTAGCCTCTTGAGCCCTCTCCGGCCCGGTGTTCGCGGAGCGCGCCGGGCCGTTATACACCGGTATACGGTGCAAACACCTTCGGACGAGAGTGCCTCGTACATCGGCCTAACTTTTCATGGCCAAGTGTCTTGCCTTGAGTTGTGGCTATTGCACAGCTCATCGCAAACACGATGCTAGGGCCTGCAACTGCTTGAAAACTACATCGAAGTCAATTTTTGAGCTAAGCACAAATCAGCTGTTTACCAGTCACAGTTGTTGGTAAACTTGTTTTGGTTTGGCAGGTGTCCACTTATCGAATTAGTGTGCTTAGCACCGTAAAATTGATCGTAGCAGCCATGAGCTAAATGCAGGGAGAGAAATGATAGAAACCCGAAAATTTTTCATAATGGAAACTTTATCTAAAATAGTGGGCTCCGTTATAATTATGTTTTCGAATTCACTGAACAATAGCTTGTTCCCCAGTTTCCTTGAACATGGTTATGAAAAGATCACTCGAATTTTACAAAATTAATTTGGCAATATACATTTTGTCAAGTCTCGTGGGAAAGTTGCGTGTGAAGATGTTTATGTTTACAAGTAGATGTTAATGTAAAAAAAGTAAAACAAATGCGTATATGCCTCACTCACAAAAAAGCAATCCGCACCGCTGTGTTTGTATAGTTCAGATAATCAGTCCTGACTCATGCGCGCGATTGAAAATGTTCAAACTTCAATGGTGGATTTTCAAATTTTGGCAACATATTTCATCGTAATTTTTACGTGACCCGTGACGTGCCAAATAGAGACTCGGGGTTGGAGTTAAATAATTCGTTAAATATTTGAACAAGTTCTGCGCAACCTTTGAAAACAGCACAATGGGTTGCTGAGAAAATGCAATTATGTAAAAGAAGTGATTTTTCATTCATTCCAAAATTACCACAGTTGCGGGATTTTACACTGTACCTATTGGTGCATGAAATACGTTATACTTCGAAACTCTGGTCAATCATGCGCACTTCACTTGAAGGTTTATTCGGCATGACAGCAAAGTTATCCCAGTGCACTGCAATTCAAAAACAAAAGGTTATTAAAAAGTAAACCATCCTGTCGGGAGTCTCATTACGGTGAAAATAAGTCTCAGCAATAACACCTTTGGTTTTCGTAACTAAAGCTAGAAATGATGACAATGTTTGGAAAGAAAACACCACTGAAATGTGTCATTTTAACAAGCACCGTGTCTCGATCCAGCGTAGCCCCCGGGACTTTGCCCGCCGAGCCCCGCGCTCTTAACAAGGCCGGCCGCTAAAAGCTGAGTAAGAGGGACTTTTGTTGTGAAAGGAAACATTGTGTCGGGCAAACAGGAGTGAAATTATCACAGAATGAAGCTGTGGATGGCGAGGTTTTTGAGGAAAATTGTGTTTGACTTGAAGAGAGACTGATGGCGAGTATGTGACCTTTTATGCGAGTGTTTTTGTTGAATGATCCGAAGGAGAATTGTAGGGGTGAATTAGCTGAAATGAACATGTACAATATTTGAAAAAGATGCGATGATAAAAGTAAAAAAAAAAAAAGAGAAAAGGAAAACCATCGCGACCACATACTTTTTTGCAGGAGTGGTGAGTTCTTGTCAACATTTGGAGACTATAGTAGTGTTTTTGACTGGTTGTCAGTCCCTCCATCATCATCATGACCCAAATCCTAAAATTGCCCGGCCGTGGATAGGTAGCCAGTCTAGTGACAGTCAGTCAGTGAGATAGTTAACCAGTCTAATTCACAAGTGACAGTCAGTCAGTGAGATAGTTAACCAGTCTAATTCACAAGTGGCAGTTAGTCAGTTGGGGAGTCAGTCAGTTGGAGAGTCGATGAGTCAGTCGGGCAGGGAGTCAGTCAGTTAGTCTGGGAGTCAGTCGGGGAGTCAGTCAGTCGGGGAGTCGGGGATTCGGGGAGTCAGTCAGTCGGGGAGTCAGTCGGGGGGAGTCAGTCAGTCAGTCAATCGGGAAGTCGGGGGGGGGGGGAGTCGGTCCGAGTCGGGGAGTAAGTCAGTCATTCAGTCAGTCAAGAGCGCACAAAAAGGCTAGCCCCTGTGTGACCAGCAAAAATTCAGTAGAAAGACAAGGTAAAAGTGCAAGCAGAATAGTGATCCCATAGAACAATCGATAAGGAGCCATGCTCGATCCTTCGATAGCAGTGTGACGCAGCAACGGAAAGATAATACATGAGAGGAATAAGAGAGGAGTTGCCCTGGCAACCAACGAGCATTTTCCGGGCTGGTTGGAGCAGGGGAGTTATCGAACTGTGCAAAGGGGAAGTGAGGGGAAAATTGCTGAAGGGGTGCTCGCGTCACCAGAGGTTCACGTTTGATGCACGGATTGCGTGTTAGCAGGACCGTAAAATCTACCACGCAGCATCCCTAATATATGTAAATAAGTGGCTTTCAACACAAATTGTACGGTGTGTGTGACAACGGCAGTATGATCATCTGACAACGCAATTGCTGCACAATAATTGTGTATAAAGATCACCGATTAAAGATTCAGGAATGTATCTTCTTACATCCTTCACAAGGGCAAGGTCGATTGGGGTGTCTTTAGAAATTATATACTTGAGCTGACATCATCTTTCCGAGCTTTGGCACTATTGCAATAACCCTCGAGATACAGGTGCATTTTAAGGGTTTAATGTTTTGAAATAAATCATATGGACTTGTTTACACATTAGATAAAAAATCGGGAAAGAAATTGCCTATTTCGAAAATAATCGGCAAATTTAAGATAAAATTGCAATTTCACTCTGCATTAGAGGGCGCCCTCCACAATTTACAGAACTCTGATTTACGCCCAAAGATCCACATTGAACGTGCAATGTCGCGTGAGATGTCCAGATCTATTTACGCGGGATTACTGGCAAAATCTGAATTTTGTTTTCGAAAAAGCGACCTTATTTTTGTCTTTTTCTGTGAAAGTATTACTTAAGTAGCCGTTTTGAGGTGCTGACCTATTCATTTAGAAAAAAAAAATTCTAGGAACCACCTTTTAGAAATTCTTCAACCAATAAAACGCTCCTGCATGTCTATATATCAGAAAAAAGTTATCGGACAGATCCCCTCGTATGTCCAATGTTTAGAAGAAGTTGAAGTATGTGATCCAACACATCTGAACAAAATATAAATCTAATAACATTAAGGTGACAGGCACCGGACAATAGAGGGCTCACCAGACTTCACAGCACCACTGCACAGACGGCCTTGTAAAATTAACATGACAAAAGCGTCCGTCTCATAAAGGGGCCAGGGGGCATGTTACCAGGGCTACGTTGTTTAGCATTCTAGTCCCCGTGCCAGGGAAACCCATGTGTACTGTAATGTGACAAGTCGTAACCTAAATACACTCGAGTAGTGTAGAATAACACTCACACACTCCCACACATCTGTTGCAACGAAGTACAAAATTCCGGATATTTTGGATATAAATACTATGGATGCTGAGTCGTAGCAGGATTTACTTATCTAAAAGGAACGTGCGCAGGTTTCACCAAAAGTTTGTCAAATTGGAGTCGAAATGGCAGCAGCAAGTCTGAGTACGATACCTACGGGACCATTGGGTTTACATCACTATTACAAGGAGACTCAAGGAACGGACAATCTTTCCAGGAACTTCCAATCCAGTGAGCTCTTCACACCGTATCTTGTTCCACAGAGGCCCACTGTTTCTTCCAACAGGTGAGTGGATGTACTTCTTCAGTACTTTCAAAATGGTAATCAGTGGAGCTATCATAGAGACTGCGGAATCCACACACGATTTCTGTAGCAGACGACGGTGTCGTCTGCACGAAGTCGGCAAAACGGTCGAGTTGTTTCAAGTCGAGGTGACCGACGGTTGTCTGAACACGAAATTATTAACCTGAAATCGTAAGTCTAGTCGTATTGCATCGTATTAGTCAAATAATCGCAAGCCCAGAGAATATTCACGTGTTTTAACATTGGGTCCTGATCTTGGGAAGTTTTGTTATGATTTACTTTGATACCGTCACTGCACCAAAAAGATTGGAGAAACCTATCCTGGCGATAGACCTCCATTGTTGATCAGAAGGGTAAACTTATTGGCACAACCAGGTTTTTTTAATTAAAACAATGACGGACTCATTTGTATTCTGTGAATAGGGACATTGATATATTACCTGTATGTTCTTGATTGTACTATACAGAAATCCCTAAATTGAAGAATCGGGTTTAATATGTTGGAGGAGGAGTGGATTGCTAGATTTCCATCATAAAATAAGATTCTGTTAAATAAGGAACAGGCAGTACCCGTTTGGTCCAAATAATTTCCTTAATGAAAAGCCATGGTATGATTTCAAAGTCTCTTTTCATGATGCCAGTTTTATCGGTTACCCCGCAATAAAATCTCTAAGAACTGCAAGGGATGTCAACCGTGCAAACACGGCCGAATTCAATAACCAATCACCATGTACATTGTAAAATTGCTCGCAACACAAATAAACTAACGGACCTTCGGGTCAAACCAAAGCAAACTTGCACTGCCCTAACACTGTGCACTCTGTCGCCCTGCAGAAACTATGGACTTGATGCTTACATAGCAACCTGGTTACCGATGACATTTGCGAACAAAGTTACAGCAGTCTTGACACCTATAAGGTGTCTATTTTGCACTCCGACTAGTCTGAAACATACTGTTTATAATATTGTACCAAAGTTTTCCACAAATCTGTCAGCGTCAAATTCATCACATTTTTAGCTGTGGCTCACGTGAGAACTTCATTTTACAAGTAACATAAGGAAGTACCATAGTTTTTGACATTGGTTTATTATGTCCCTCCTTAACGACGTTAGTACACTTTGGTTCTAAACTGGTCCAAACGCTTTTGAGAAAAAAAATCACAAATTTAACTTGGGTGGAACTCGAACCATTGACCTGTTTCCTGGTGAAGACGTTTTTTTACCGCTGGGCCACTAAGCTTGCCAAGGTCGGACGACCGGTTCGAATATCTGCATGTACCGCAGTCTATACATGTATATGACGGCTACATCATAGTTTTATTTTGCGTGCTGTGTCAGTTGTGTTGACCCAAAAAAAAACCGTTTGCCGTTTTAGGTAATCGGGCAAACAAGTAACAGAAGATAATGTGTTCCATTTTCCAGACTAATATTAAACGTTGTCGAGCACCAGAACTTGCTTTCTAGCTAAGAAAGTTGTACGCTTTATCTGAGCATCCCGAAACTAGTCTAGAACATCTAGAACTTATTTGAGATCGCCTTATCTATTTGTCTATTCTTCAGAGTATTGCTTTGGAGGGGGAATGTTGAACAACACGACAACCTGATTTTTGTTTTACCCCTTCATAAAATGTGAAATACATTCTATATTGAAATCGTTTGCTGTCAGACACCAGACATTGTACCCGGGAAAAAACTCATTAAACTCGAATCATCTCATTTACTATTTTAACATAGCGACGAACCTTAGATGAATCATTTTTCGACATGTTATTAATACGGTCGGGAGATCAAGGCATTTTTACCTACGGGAATACAACACCTTAGAAAAAGGAATTGGTACACTGCAGCCTACTTTTAAAATTGACAGTGTCATTTTGACCCAGAAAAGTGCCATTTTGACCCCGAGAAGTACTAGGTCAAACTAGAACCCGGATCCCGGATCAAATCGCACCGGAACCTTTTGCAGTGTAATATTCATATTTCCACGTGCACATTTTTAGGGAAGGTTGAATTCTGCATGCAGCATTTACTACAGCATTTTGTGTGTCGTATAAAAAGTGATTTATTTCTTTATGGTACTATAATCGATTTCAATTATATGTGTTTAAAATACATTTGGTACCCGTGATTATTGATGAAGTTGTTACTTGCTTACCACGTTTCTCATATATAAAAAGGCCATCCATGCATCTAGCGATTAATATCGAATTAATAACGGGACCCATGACGTATGGCCCACCTCACTGTGTGATAAATATTATCGGGCGATAACGGCAACAAATAAATCAACACAATTTGTCAAAAAAATTGGAGTTTGGGTTATTTACGAGGTTGCCTCGCCGGAAATCGGACTTTAGTCTGACAACTATCAGTTTTGTCTATTAGCAAAGTACGAGTACGAACCGATGAATCATTAGCGTCATCTCGTACCCATTATCGCCTCATAATATTATACAGGAGTAGTGTCTAATTTCTTCGAGCTCTGATTGGCTAGATTTGGTTCATCCATACACGTGCTTAGGAATGCATACGTGCGTTGATAACGGCGGTAAGGCTCCCACAATGCTTTGCGTTTCCTTCGCAATAGTACTTGGTAAAGCAGTGGTCATCAGTGCCCTAGGATAGGTCCGTGGGTACGAGGAAATAATTGGTCGAAGAGCATTGCGTGCTATTGGTGGCGTCAGAACATTCAGGGAATGTTTCTGCCCTAAAAGTCTCAGTACAACATCAAATTAATGCGAATGTTTGTCATTACTAAATTTTATGAGTCGATGATCTATGTTGAAGTGCTGTCTGGCAAATCGTACTTTATAGCATAGCGTCAAAACACAGTGAGGATTTGATGATTGGTTAGTTTGCCTCGGTGTGTGATGCATTAGAGTCGAGGTTAGGTTTTCGGTTTAAACGCTTAAAACTCAAGGAATTTTTTAACGTTTGAAATGAAGACTTGCAAAAAGAGAACTAAATGCTAAACAAGTGAAAACGAAAATGTAATTAATATAAAGGGGAAGTCACCAATATTTATCGAGAAGTGGAATAACGCAGGGAATAATGAAAAATCGTCCAAAATTATAAAGAACGCTGAATCAGCTTTGTACTGCGTAATGCCACAGTTGGCATGAATACGCAGTATGTAGGGCATACTTGACCATGCATGCATCTATAAAAAAATAAGCCACTGTACATGTAGTTATTCCTCCGTGCCTTAATCAGAGTGTTATAGGGTAGTGTACTCGCGCAGGGTCCTCCTGTGATCCTTGTACGAATATCCGCAACATAGAAAATTGGTTAATTCCTGCTGCTTGGTCGGATGAGTTTTCTTCCTTATACTTAAATAACTTACATTTTCCATCCTCGTTTTCCTTCACTTTAAAAGCTTTGAAATAAAAGGAGGAAAAATGCTGAATCATTTGACTGGGCAATTAAAGATCGTAGATTCCGAAATAAATTAACGGTGGTTTCTTTTTAGTGATGGCGTCTTGAAATGGTCTGTTAAAGACAAACCTCACATAATTTACGGCTTCCGAATACTGTCTGTCTCATTATTTGGCCGTGGCTGCAAAGTGCACGAAAGGTTTCAACAACCCGTCGTGTCCTACATCACAGCAGTTTGTTAAAATCGTTTCTTGGAAAAGACATCGTCGGAACTGACTTGACAATCTTAATTTGAATGACCGCACAACACACGTCATCATTTCGTTACCATTATACCATTAATTAGTGAACCTTTTGTTCATTATTCGATTAAATTGTATTTTCGGATCCGATCAGAAGATAATGCTTTTGAGGTTGTAAAGTAATTATCAGGTATTGTTCAATTAAGCCGCGGCCTTAATCGTGTGGCCATTATGTCAAGACGCTCATTCATGTTAATGGTCAGAAAAAGGAGGATGTTAGGACGGGATTGTGCTGATAATTATCAGTGAGGGAGGCTTGAGTTGCCACACTAGGCACTAATTCTTACCGCAGACCCAAACCGGTGTGCGTGCGTTGGCCAGCTTTAATAAACCTCTAGCCTTTTATAACCGTCTCACGCTTTATTCAAAGTGCGCTTACTTATGGGAGCTTGCTTGCTCCCTTGAGTAGGCAAGCTCACTGAGAACTTCGTTCTTCAACAGATTTGATATCACCTTATTTAGTTTCAACAAATGCAAATAAAAAGTGTTATCAGTTTTGGCAGTTTCTTGCAACAAGTTAATTCTGGGTTTAGAAGTAAGTACTAGGGCGCTGCTCTAGTCATTCTCAGTGAAATAAACAACGAATATTTTACTTACGTGTCTAGCTCCACCAACGGCTAGGCTGGAGTACATAGACGAATCCCAATAGAGCACCGAAACCGAGGCTGTCAGTGCTAAGCCATTGTATGAATAATTGAGGACCCTTTCTCAGAATTAGGCTGTTCTGTCCGTGTTGCCTCTTCCACACGTATTGGACACATCATTTTAGCCTCGATTCAAGACCGTATACCTCCTACCTTAATCAAGTGTCTCTCCCCGTATTGCCAAGCCCAGACATCACGGTTTTAGGTTTTGGGATACACTCAATTGGAAAGTCACCCACACGGTTCTGTGTATTCGGGTTTTTTTCTTACGTGAATTGCGCATATCAGAGCAAGTGGGGAATTTCTACTTCTGGTTGAGGATATAGTTGGAACTGTGGGTCGCTGGTCCACATCCCACTGGGTCACATTTCTCCCGGACCGACTAAAATAGGCAAAAAGGCTTACCTAACAACTTAACACGTGTTTTGGACTAAAATTTTTGTTTCAAAGTTTAAGAGCCATTTTCATGGTATTGAGGTGATACACCTCCAGCTTTTTTTCAAGGAAGATGGTCCATGTGGATCACCTCCGTTTTGATGCCGTACGAAAAATTCCCAGTGTCTTTTTTTCTATTGGACTGCAGAAAGAAGTGAAAGTAGCGAAAAAAGTAAAAGACTTCAAAATCGAAGTTTTGACGTTTTAAAACTCACATAATGGTCTATATTAAAAGAAAACGATGATCAAAACCCCTCTCACCAAATTGTGTCTCTAAAACCCTTTTTCAAATCGCCAATGCCCGAAAAGTGTTAACTTACATGTTTTCTGTCATAATCCCGTTCTTTCACAAAAATCAACCCCTTTGACAGTTTTAGTATGTTAAAACTAACTTTTCGGATGCCTTCTCCGCAGATACAAACATTACCGCGATGCCTTGGAGAAAACGCCCAAGATACCATGGGGCACCGCGCGGGAGTACGCCGGTGAGGGACAAGTCAACCTCCCCGACGATCATCGGCCCAAGAGCGAACCCCCGCCCGCTGTGGAGAAGGGACATCGGCACTTCGGCACAGGGGCAGACCCCTACCCAAGGTAATTTTTTTTTAGACACTTTAATGCGGGTTTAAGGTGTTGATTCGTTGAAATGCGTTGGAAGATGACGTCACAGGTCACGATGGATATTAACCAGCAGTGCAAGAGAAGGGTGAGTTTTCCCAAAATTCTTTCCGTTTTAAATCTCGCATCCTCATTTTATCCCCCCCCATTTGTTTTTAAATATAACTGTTAATGCGGATTTACATTTTACGCGAATGCTTTAAGACTTTTGCAATGAGGATATGCTGCATACAATTTCACTGCTAAAACAACAATGAAACACGCCTTCAAAACCGTAACTACAAGTATGATGTATTGTAAAAAGTATGTCATAATTTACATTGGACGCCAAGTAAATGGACAGATATGTCCATCGTTTTCATATGGGGGAAATTGAGAAGGGAAAAGTATTTATTGCGACGGAAATCTAACAGCAGAGCTTGTGACTGAAAGTGAAGCCACCGTTATATGAACTTTTTATGAGAACAAATGGGATCAGCAAGGAGAACTGTTAACTCAAATTTGTGGAAGAAGCCGACCATTGTTCGACTCTGTTGAGTGATTGTGGGTTTTTTTCGTAGAGAGAATTTTGAATTGGAAAATAACATTTGTGTTGTTTAAGCTATAGACAAAGTTGTGTTGTTTAAGCTATAGACAAAGTTGTGTTGTTTAAGCTATAGACAAAGTTGTGTTGTTTAAGCTATAGACAAAGTCATCCCGAATAAAATGTCTCAACACGGTTTTAACTTGAGATCATACTGGTACTAGCTATTAAGTCTACAGCACTACCCAAGAATATGTGTTTCTTAGTGGTAGGAAGGGATTTTCTGTCCATCAAAGAAATGTCACTAAAAGAATGCCATAAAGTTTCCTATTTTGTTTTTCCTTTTGCTAGCGAGCATCTGCTCCAGTGTAGGCCTAATATAACCAATACCGGTTTAGTTTGACTTTAACATTCTATATCGTGACAACCAATCACCGGCCAGCATTCACTGATGGCACAATAATGTAATTACTGTCCGCCTCAAAATGAGTGCCAATCAATTTAATCAAGTTGATTCTCGGCTATAAAGGGACTGTCTATATATCATGACAACCAATCATTAATCACCAGCATTCTGTATAACATGACCCTTAATGTGCGAATTAAGTTTACCATTCCACAGTTATCCACACCTGAACTCAAAACAGTCCCTTAAGCCGAGAATCATACTTTATTGAATTGATTTACGCTCAGACATTTTGAGGCGGACAGTTATTACATTATTGTGCCATCAGTTAATTAATATTTACAAGGAGTTCCGTGATGACAGGATTTTTTCAATGACTGAATAAATGAGTTTGTTAAACGTTTGGTTGTGTAGGTATAATGTAAGGTTTCTGTTGTGGCTGCGTTTTGGATTTGTTGGCAGTCTGTTTGCCAAAAAGATCACAACAAGCGAGCCCATGATCCCAAAATACTCTGCAGGAGCTTAACCCAAACTAAAAACACGTAGCGTGGATTTATACCTCCTCACGGACGAGTGGTTCCAGTCATGCCCCCTGATCTGTTGACCCACTTCACCCCCTATTGACGGAACCCAATGAATATACATCAGCAGGTGGTTGATTCAATTGATTGATTGGCTGGCTTGTTGCCCGTCAATGGCAGCCGGCTCATTTACATAATCCATGGCAACCGGCCTGTCCGCTTGGCTTAGAGACGGGGTAGGCAACATACAGTGCACATAGGCCTGTATCAGTACACATGACCGAGTACGAGATTTGGACCGACACAGTTACGATTTAGGGGGACATTTTGGACAATTCGGGGTCCAAAATGACGTCCCTGCTACCCGCCTTACCGAGGAGCTACCCTCACATGAAAGAGAAGAGAATTTTCAACAAGCTTCATCCAATTTACTACACGTAAGACCAGAAGTAGATTTTACAGTAAAGCGTTGCGGTACGGTGTCGGACCCGCCGGGGACGATAAACGTTGCCAGGCATAACAACCTGTTGAATCGAACTCGTCATGCTGAAGAGAATTGTTTATGTATACATGTAACAGGTTTGATATGTCTTTCTTTTCGGCAGCCTTGCCCTAGTTGCATAGTATACCGTGGTAGAATGTTGTTAGATCCTTCCCTCCTTGAAAAGAATTTTTGTTCCCGTTTAGACCAAGATTTCAATGGCATGCCGTTTCTGAAATTTATCATTCACAGCAACATCCGACCTCTGACTTATAGGCGCGTCAAACTGAATAAAATATCACCCGTTATCTCAGTAATTCACACTGCGTGCAAATACTCTGGAATTATCTCCCCACTGTATTGAATCATCTATTTATCATTTGATCAAATAAAATTGGTGCGATTTCACAAAGGCGCGGCAACGTAAATAGTTTGCAGGTGCAAATTTGTTCTAAACTTTGTTCTAGATCTGGGTTGTTGTTATGATTAATTGTCTTATTTTCTTTGCAGAGGACTGCCAGTAGAGCAGTACTACGACCTCACACTTTTAAAAAGGAGCAACATTAGGTCCAATGATCAACTGTAAGCATTAACTTTTATTTCTTTAAACTTAAAGATAGATTTAATTTTGCATTTTCTATTTATTTACTGTCATTTGTTGGATTCACTTTTTAGTCATCATAAATTCATTACATTTCAATTCCGATCCGTTGATATGAAATGCAATTTTCTTTTCAGTGCTTTTCATTATTTTAATTTTTTTTGTCTTTCAAGGTTGCCAAGACCAGGAGAGATTGACATGACGTAAGTTTTCAAAAATAAATCAAATTAATACATAACCAAATCCGAAATACAATGTACATCGTTGGAGTGAGTGAAATGTACTTCACACTTGAGTTAAATTTAAGTATTGTGGGGTTCATGTGTGTTAATCTTTGAACGAACGGATTGCTCTACCTGAATATTATTTCTTTTAATCGCAATAAATTTCACTCTTTTTCAACGATTCAACAGGAAACTTCAGATCGACAAGACTTTCCCGGCCGAGCATCCGTACAGCTCCCACATGTCCCGCTTCGCCCTGTTCCCGAGTTTCGCCAACTCCCCGGACGACTATAAGACCGGGGAGGCGGCCAAGGAGTCCAGCGGGACACTGCACCCTCAGATGCCCGCTAGCGGCTACGATGTCACCATTAACCACAAATCCAAAGGTTAGTTTGGCAGATTGGTGATGGGATTGTTCATTTTATGATACAATCTGTGAATTTGGCACACAGTCAGAGTATGTCATGAGAAAGATATTTTTATTCTTCCTCTATCACTAACTTTGAAAACTATTGCCTGTAAGTTTTAGGTGCTTCTGTAAAGTTCTTGTCTCTGCACTGTTTAAGTTCTCATAGTTTCAATACCTCCTTACCATATTCCTCCTCAGGTGCTGGAGACAGATGGGAGACACAAGACCTTCCGTTGGATTCACAGAAGAAAGCCTTATCTTGGCCTGGTGATGTCTTCTTCCAGGTATAACTTTTTGGTTTCTTCCCTTCGTCGTCTTGCTATCGATACTTGCTCTTGTTATAGTATTGCAACAAATCAACCCATTGGTCTCTCTGTTCACAAAAAAAATATGTTCACTTCAAAAATACTTCAAAAGGACAAAGTTAACAGAGTCAGAAAATTCTGGAAAATAATGCTTACAAGTAGTTGTTTATTTGTAATTGGTGGGAATATGTTAACAATATTCGTGGATGTCATGCACTTTCCTGACTTTGCACTTTTTGTGACGTGGGTTCACATCCAACCAAGGAACAATCTTGGAGACCTGGGCTTTTTGTATCAGGTCGGTCGATCCTAATAATGTTCTGCCGTATCGTTGTAGTTTAAAAACAAAAGTTTTTCACTGGTTGCAAGGAAGCCATAATTGCATGATTAGAGATGTACATGTAGGGTTTCTTGATCCTTATGGGAATGTATATTTTGGCAGCGCAAAAACTTTGCAAACAGTGATTATCGATCTTTTCATTCCGAAATGATGAAACAATTCAGTGAAACCAAGTTAAATCCGTGTTCTTTTCTCATCCACAGAACCGGAAGACACCGACAGGTGGCCAGCAGACCTTCTACCCGATTCCCCCCAAGTCAGTCCTCCCCTCCCACGCCCCAAGACACCTTGATTTCTCCATCCATCCTCGGACCGCCAACGCGCTGCGCAACGTGGAGCGCTCCCAGTGGGTGACCACGTACGGTAAGAACTTCACCGGGTACGGCCCGGCCAACGCACTGCGCCTTGATAACTACGACGAGAAAGTGGACATGGAGAAAAGGATAGGCATTGAAAACCATAGCATGGTGAGTATTTAATTTAAGGCTGTGTTATGGGTTTAACTTTAGAACGGTTTTGAAAATGAAAACGGTTTAATAATTTCCTAAACGTAACACACTAAACTTTCAAAATGAAATACGAATAGATCATTAAGTACTGCCTACGATGTTAATTTTTCACGTAATAGATTAAGATAGATTGCGAAGCCTTACATTATGACGCTGTGGTTCAAGAAAGGGGTTAAGATTAATTTCAAGAGCAACGATTGCTGAATTAAAGAGTTCTGGAATAAAATAAATGGCGGAGGAGAATGTTCGAACCCTTATAACAATGGCAAGTTCTGGCGAGAAGCTCGCTAGACTCTTTCACTGTATATATGCCTTTGGTGAGGTGTTTCATACTCGTACATACCTTTGACTTATGTTCTTATTATTGTACAAGGAGTACTATCTTATTAAGAAGAATGGCGGCTATTTTATTAACTTTTTCTTTGAATGTTTCTTACAGATGCGGGCAATATAAGTACATTTGTATGTTAGTGTGTGTGAAACATCAGCATTTAATTATTGGAATGTCTTTACCTCCTCCTTGAAAATGACTTCTTCATCTGATAAAGAAACATTCCCTCAACAGGTCCTTGATCTTGAAATCGAACCTTTTTGGGGGTAAATTGCTAACATGTTTCAATTTGTCTTTCTTTGCAGCCTAAGCCATCGCTCCCGTTCATTCGTCGAGGTGTCCAAAGAACAGCACTAAACAGGACATATCTCCCCAATCGAGATAGCTTATGAGCACTTATAGGCCTACATTTGAAAAGTTTATTAAATCAGATCACTTCTTAATCCACTATGAAATGGCTTGTCTGTAAAACTCACATAATACTCTCATTGCCGTGTTTATTATTGCAAACTTTTCAAGCCGAACCCGAAATTATTTTGCCCGCCTTAAAATACATGCACATTTGTATCCAGAGTTTCCTCTTTGAAGTTTATTTATAAAATTGTCCTGATGTCGGCAACTTTCACATGTTTACGCTAGATATGACCATCACTGACTAGTCGTATCGTTATAAACCATTCCCACCCTAAAACCTACCATCTCCACTAAGTATGTCATGTATTAGAACTACATTATTTGAGTACTTTGAAGATAACTTCCAAAGTTAAAATTTGATCATATTGAATTTAGTTTTTCAATCGATTTAATGATTTGATATGGAAAGAAACGCACGGCTCCTATTGTATACATATCACACCACGTGCTTTGTGTTCTTCGCAAAAAAGTAACAAACTCTTTTTCTGATCTTAAAACAGATTGTAAACTGGTTGTTTGAAATTGAAATAGATAGGCCTATTGTTCTGCTATATGCAATATTTACCTGGTAGAGGCTGTCTTCAAAATTGCAGAAGAAACTTCAATTCAAATGTAGTTAATCGTTAGGAATCTCCACGCAATGTCATGTTCATGGCAGCATTCGACGCACTTGTTATCATGTTTTGTAAGAACGCACGACTTTTGTAACAGTTTTATGGATGCACTCTTTTGTATATGCAATAAAGAATTTTATTTTGTCTGTGAACAAATGTTTATCTTTCAAGATTGATTGAAATATATTATGTTATTTGCGCTGAGGATATGGAAACCGTGTTTGAGGTTGCAGTTACATCTAACAAACAAAATATAATTAAACAAGCAAGCCCTCCATGCCTAAATAATTAAATCAAATTAATCATCTGTCCACGGACCCCCCCCCCCCTCCCTTAAAATATGAAGCATGACGATAACTTTTCAAAGACTACAAATCTTTGAAAAGTTACTGTACTTTCACCGTACACAAGAGAGTAACTTCTTGGAATACTAATCTAGAATACACATTGCCTCTGAACTTATGTTTGTTAGCATTGGCAGAAAACCCCCCACATGATTATCAACTGAAACTTAGAGATTAAATCATGCAGCAAAGTACATGTGCGTATTAAGCAATAGAAAAACCAGGCAAAAATAGAATGTCCCCCATCCTTTCACTATGCATTCTACACTGAGAAAACAGGATGATTAAATTAGGGCCTATACAATTCAGAACAGCCAAGTCAACACATTTAGTAGTTGTCATTACTCTTACACCCGCACTTCACATACACTGACATGAACATTATTAATATCTGCGTCACGTGGTGAACGCGATATTGCAGTGAGTCTCAAGGTTGAAAGGGTTCATAAATAAGATTTCACTCTGTTGTAACGTTTAAGCTAATGCGGGAGAAGTGGTACAATATTTCAGATTGATGTTAAAGTTTCCCCTCTCCTTTTTGGAAGATGTAAAAAAAAAAAAAAAATAGTAATATCACAGCAGCTGCTTATACCTCCAGGAAAATTAGGCACTTTTCTACAGCCACGATTTCAAAATAAAGTAATTACTTTAGGGCATCGCACAATGTACAAAGACCGTCACACTTTTACAACAATTGTGTTTCTTGATTAACAAATTACATGCACCCAGATAGTATCGTTGGTAATTATTGGGAAACTAAAACGATTGTTATAACAATATAGATTATCAATTTTATTTAGCAAGATTATCAATTAGATTATCATTATCACTTTTAACGACATTCTGTAATTGTACAGTACATGTATTTCTATTAAAGACAATTTGAAATGGTGGGGGTGGGGGTGAGGGGGGAGCCGAATGGGTATTTAAGCCTATAGGTCTAAACCCGAGTTCTTTTTCTCAATATAGCGCAACCAATCAATATTTTAATACTAAGGAAGTACATGTTAACCAGGTTTAGAACGAGGGAGACATAAACTCGACGAGTAAAATAGCATTGGTTACCTATAACGCTCTATCAACCAACACACCAGATTTTAGGTTTTATTTTTGTTCAATGTAGTCCCATTTTTAGTAAGATCTCGAGTCGTGGTTTCAAGGTTGATTGCACCATGGTCTACTTTTTGAACAACGATGACAATTCCCGGAGGTTACTGACCATTCAGCACACATCTTGTGCACACAATTTTGCGCAATTAACTGATTTTTGTGTCTTATTTTCAGAACTTTGGAGTTGACGAGGCACACTTGATAAAGAATTCTTATATGGCTTATTATAATCATTAGTTGCTTCGTTTTCCAGAAGCAAGAGCAAATCAACCTCTTTATTCCTTTTCCAAGATGTGACTTGTGAAGAGTTCTTCTATGTTATTTCTTTCTAATCCTATTTCAGTCTTCGAGGTTTCAACCAATCATCACCGATCTACAAGACTGATATCCTTGTCCGGGACACTCTGATTGGTTCTTTGTTCTGAATCCTAATGCATAGGTTTGATTTCTCTTCCTCCTTCTCAGCGTCCGCGGTCTTATCCCACGTTCATGCCGCCTCGTCCCCTGGAAGGTCGCATCTCTCGCCTGATTGGTCCAAACCAGTGCGTCCGATGCGTCATTAAAGATGGCCGCATTGAATACGTGCCCTTCTCGCCCAAAGTGGACATCGAAATGGATAAGGTAAAACTTGGATTTGAAATTATCGCCAAATCAATGTTTTTACATTAGTACATACCCAACGTAAAATTGCATCAAGAAAAACGTATCGCTCATAAACAGATTAATGGTGCCTCTTATCAGTTCGTATTATGTAGAGTCCTAATTCCACACTATACCCATATGTCGCTTTTTCATTTACAGTCGTGTGGTCAATGCACAGGGTCAACCGTGACCAAATTTTGTCAGACAGTGCACGACATTGATTCCCTGAAAGAAGTTCATAATTTTCGTAAGGATAACATTAAGGCATCGGGCCTGACGGTAACAAAAATGTCATTTCAGATACCTGTTAAATCTTGTTTATACAGTGACACTTCAATTTTGATGTTTCCAACGCACAGGCGTCTTTCTTCTCCGCCTTAAATTTCTCAAATCCCTCTGGTGTCTACATGTATATGCTAAAAGCTATATACGGAGCCCCTTATATAACTTTGATATCGCACTAGGATTGGAGCAAGACATAGAGCCCATTTTGGCGCGTACAGAACGCTGTATAATATGGCACAAAAGTTATACCATAAGGGGGTAGAGAACTGTAATAATATCTATGCTTTCACTCTATTCAAAGGTTCCCGAGTACAAGAACCTTCCGACAGAGACGCAGCAATCCTTCCAACATCCAGCCCTGACCGACCAATGGAAGAAGCTCCAGGCGGCACAGCACCCGGAGGCCCAACTGCGAAAGCTGGAAGAGATGAAGCAACAATCTAAGCAGGAGCCCGAGAACTCCCTCACGGGCTTCACGGAGGAGCAGAAGAAGGAGGAGGGAAGTTACTTGAAGCAGATGGCGGAGAGGCGGAAGGAGGAGTTGGAGGCACTCACCCAGAACGCTAGATGGAAACAAGCTGAGCAGCAGGAGCACCACCATGATCTGAGGCTGCTCAAGCGTAAGGTGGACTTCACCGCTCCGCAGCTCCAGTCCCCAGTCTACTACGACACCCTGCACAAGATCTACACCACCAAACCGCCGTTTTACTACGACGGCGACAATCCGTACGAGTACGACTACGTGGGCCCGTGGGACTACCACAAGACCGAGACGCTAACCGACGCGTACAAGCTCGAGGCAGCCCGGGAGGAGTTAGCGAGGAGCCGCGCTGGGCGATCGGCCGAAATGGACGTCCAGTTCGCGGGATTCCCTGGCAGGAACCCGTATATCACACCCAAGTACACCCAACGGCAAATGATGAATAGTATGCCGCGATTGGAGCCTTCCATCGCCCAGAAACCAGTCGCGCAGTCCAGCTATACATACAGTTACAATCCCGATCTGGTGAAAACGGTGACCACACCCGAGAACAGTAGGTTCGATCTCAGAGATATGAGCAAGAGTTTACCAAACATGTACAGTAGTAGACCGTCCACAAAATCAGCTGATACCACATCTAGATCGGTTCACTTCAGTGACACTGCCCAAGTGGCTTCAGGGGGTGGGGAATCACCCCTCGTCACAAGGGACTACAAACCCAGCGAGAGACTGGGTGGGGCCTCGATGACCTGGAACTACCCAGCATTCGACAACCCGGGTAGTAACTCCAAAGTGGACGGTCGTCATTTTAACCCCGAGGGCACACGTGACCCTAGATTAGACTGGAAGCCAAGTTCCCCCTTCGGTCCTCGACCCCAAACCAAACTGTTGAGGATGCAGGACTCTTTTACCAAGACGGGAACGAGGAGGGAGTTTCACAACACCTTCCCAGAGACTAACCCCGATTTGAGGGAGAACATCAACACAGGAAAGAAGCATGAGTTCGAGGGTGTAAATGCCTGCAATTGGCACTAATACTGTGCCTCGTTGTTTTCAATTCAGGCCTTCGTGGCTCTTGATTGACACAGAAAAATTTCTAACAGTTTACGGAAAAATCCACCGTTTGTTTTTACTGTAGGCTGGTAGCAGATAAATGGATGGGCCCACTGGGCCAATCGAGCCTCACGATAGGTTACGGGCCCCAACAAAATGGTTACAACATTTCGACCAGCTTTTAAATATCAGAAGGGGAAAATGGCTGCATTCCGAAAACATATTATCTGGACCAAAAAATATGACGCTCTGGAACTTTCAGTTTTAATCTGACCTGCATTAAATAATGAAATGAGTGGTTTATTGGAAAATAGATAATTTACTGACATTTATGTCATGAATGCTCGGTTATGAGACTGTTGAGTTGCTGGAGATCCTCCAATTATTTGTCCTGGGCACTGGGCCCCATTCAACCTATACCGGCCTACCACAGACTCGATAAAAGATATTCCACTGTGAATAAGATTACAAAATTGTCACAGTACAGACAAATCAAATGTCAAAAGGCTTTATCAAAAATTGAGAGACCAAATACTTTGGTAAAATTTTGTTTGGTAACTTCAATTAGAGTGCCGTTAGTCACATTGCTGTGCACACTGCAAAAACAACGAACACTATTCACTACTCCAGCACTCGCCTTGTTGGATAGCGAATGCATGCACATTCCGTACGCAAAGATTGAAAAAAACACAGCTCACCACCCGTGTTAAAGCACGATTTTTTTTACATAAAGTTTACCGACTATTTTTTCTGTATATACGTATAGTGTAAAGAAGAAAGGTGAATTCTTATTATCTAAATTTAGGAAACATGCATGGGGGTGTTGATATAAAGGAGGGGGGTGAGTATAAGACACGCCCTGCTAAGGGTCTGGGGAATGCCCCAGGCGCGGTTCTACGGGGGGGCTAGGGGGGGGGGCTGTAGCCCCCCCAAAATTTTGTCTAGCCCCCCCAAAATAAATTCCGTTAAAAAAAAATTGCATTAGCAAAAAGAAGGATTGTGATGTACATGCGAACGGTCTCCCCCTAAAGAAGAAATAGCCGTGACAAGGGTGCACTAGTTAATATAGTGTGAATGATTTTAGGATTTTAATTGGCGCTCCCCATTGAAAATATGGCATGAGCCCCCCCCCCCCCCCCCCCCCCCCCACCTATTGATTTTCGGAGGCCTACATTTCAGCACGCCTCCCTGAAAAAATTCTGGATCCACCGTGCTAGCCCCCCAAAAATATTGGTTCTAGAACCGCGCCTGGAATGCCCCCAACATTTTGAAAATCTACCATACTTTCTCCTACATTCTAATACAATTCAAGAATACATTTAAAATGTTCGGCCCATTTTACTAGTATCATGACATAAGGGGGAGGGCAAGAGGTTTTCAAGAGCTTTCAAGAGTTTTCAAAAAGTTTACACTTAACTTAATATGCCAAAGAATCAATTTGCACGAACACTCGTGAGTTTTGCACTGTTTATTCATTTGAAAAGTCGAACAATGTTCAATCGATTCCTTTTTAAATTAATTAAACCTTCGTTTCTCGTTTTAATCCGATAATCGACAAATAAATAGTAGGCCTCCACATTTCACATTCTGTCGTCAAATCGGTCGAAATATTTTGCATTTGTTACTTTCAATCCCGCAAATATTTTGACTGGCCAAAAGTGTTTCCATCGTCTGCATACGTATTGATTTGTTTTAGTGACATGTACTTAGATATGGGGCTATATACACGTTCACAAACCCAGCCGTCTTTCTATGACAGTGTGTAAAGTCGTTTAGATGGCAATAATGTTTCTGCATGTTACGTCTCAGGGTGTACAGTAGTTGTTGATTCTGTATTATCTTTAAAGTATATTTAATTCTACATTTGTCGACCAGTGATAATGCAGTGTTGTTCCCATGAAATCCAGATTGCTTTCGTCCTCGATAGTTCATGTGATATTTAAACCAAAATGCAGTGTTGTTCCCATGAAATCCAGATTCTTTTCGTCCTCGATAGTTCATGCGATATTTAAACCAAAATCATAGAGATCGTAGAATTCCTGTTTCACAACATGAATTTCTGTTCAATTGCCAAAAAAATTGCTGTCTTGTTAAGAAAAAAACTATCAACTTTTTGCTTTCAGTGGCAAGCAGTGGATAACATGTCCTTCGTTAGCTTCCTCTTTTGCATGATATGAAGTGAGAGTGTGGTTTTAAGATGTGATGCAATAATCATTTAGTCAATTTCAAAAATTTAATTTTTTAAAAATATGTTGATTAAATTGAATGCAATAAACAATGTTCCCTAATCTTTTGCACAAAGTAGTATGTGTCGCTCGTTGGTGTATTTTGTTCTTTGAGAAAAGGGTGGCTTTTTTTCTATTTGACCGACTTACAGTAACCTGTTCTTCGGACTGATGTGCCTTGATAATGATGATCTTATTAATTGGGGGTTGCATTATGCAAGTGTTCATTTTAGAGTTCTAAATAAACAAATATATACTCAATGATCTCTTTTGGGGTTTTTTAGTCACGAAGTTACTCATAGCCTCATTGCCATCCATAGAGGAGGTAACAAGACATATCCTGTCACATAGTTGTGATAGTTTGAATCAAAAGTGAGTGGTTAGCTAATCACATCCCCTAAGTGGTATAATGTTAACAAATTCGTCCGATTCTCCGTCACGACAAATTTCACACATGAAATGAAACCGAAACCTATATGTTACTACATGTATTATTATTAATTTCATGCAGTTTATGGCAACAAAACGTGGATGCGTGCTTCATCAATTTACAATTGTACAGTGTACAAAATACTGTGTATCGAGGTATGCATACTCATTATATATACACGTATAGCCTATTCGAGGTACGGCTGACACAATTTGAGGGCGCTATTTGCTTTTAGTAAATCCAAACGTTTGTCTCATTTCTGTACCCAAATCAAACAGCGCCCTCCTATTGTGTCTGTAAACATAAAATCGGCTAATGGGTTATTTGGCGAGGCTTGTACAGGGCGAGTCAACAAAAAAAAGCGGAACCCAAACCCCCAAAATTATATTTCATATTGGAAAAAAATATGTAGCATCAAACATAATAATGACTGGAAAGCCAATTTCATTAGCTACTTTTTTGCAATAAAGACCAATTATGTCCGAGAGCTAATTTTTGACCAAGACATAATGGAGCAAACGAACGTAATCATAACACTTCTTTAAAAGGCATCCGATTTGAAATGCCATTCCGTCTATACCCTGCCATCGAAATATATTTGATTGCTGTGTTCATACTAAATAATCGAAAATGAGGATATCAATTTTTCCTGAGAACAATATTGTGCAGTGTACGTGCCATTTTACAGTGTTTTATTATATTCAGTACTACAAACCCCTTTGTATATCTTGCTTTTGTTTTCCAATTGAAAATTTCGGGCTAAACCAAAATACTTCCCTTGGTGCGTGCACATATACAGTTCTAAACTTGGTGACCAAAACCTGACGCTAGATGAGAGCGTATAACATGCTATCGGGGGCGTAAATCCCGGGGGTGGAGATGCGGGATATATATCCCCCTCCCCCTCTTTGTTTTGACCAGGGGATTGGCTATTGGATCGTCCCCCACGTCGACCACAAGAGGGCGCCTTACTACATTTGCACAGGTTTTTTTTCAAAAACAGTATTTTCGGGCATAGTTTTACCTTCAATATAAATACCTTTAAAACAGTTAACACATTCATATTCGTCGAGAGCCCGGTTGATAAAGACCTGTTGGGTTTCTCCCCTTAAATGTATACAAATGTATATGTACTTTCACCGATGAATCCCTGAATCTGACTTTTCAAGCAAACGGGATTGGTATTTTTATTCAGTATTAAGATCAGAATTCCTCAGTTTGTTCTATTTACGTGCATTTATTTATTTTTTTCGTTCAGCAGATAGTCCAAAGGCAGGAAAGGGTAAGAGGTATACCGATGATGAACCATAATAAGATGGAGAGCTTTCAAACTTTGATTTTGTTTTCGTCTTTTCGTTTTATTGTTGTTATTACCATTCTACTAGTACCCAATGCTGGTTAAATTTACCCTTATTCAAGGCAGAATAAAGAGAAACTCTGCGTATTCAGTCTTTTTTTCATTATTAAATTCGATGGACTAAATTAAATTTTTCGATTGACTACCACGAAAATCATGGATTTCCCCCCAAACAAATTCGTCAAAAGTCTTAGAATAGAAGATGAAATTTAATTTGAGCTGTCACGGTGCTCAGTTTAAGAAGCTGTTTAAGAAAAGCAGGCCTATGGTATAGTTAGGTTCTTGGAGAGTCCATGATATGTATAGCACTGTATATTCGTTTCGATATCCGTCCCCGTAAATCCGTGCCGACGACTGGGGGGAGTAACTCCCCCTAAAATTCTAAAACCATCCCTACGTACCAAACTTCAAAAAGCGGTTAGCGAGAGGGAGGGGGGCTGAACACCATCCGTCACTCTACGTAGCACTGCATGAAGACAGATCAGCGACATGAGTGCTATTGCTGTTTATGAGCATTTTACCTCATTTACCGACTTTATGAGTATACAGTATAGTAGTTGATATTTTCCTGTCGATTTTTTTAATTGGCTACAATTTCTTTCTGTTTTTTTTTTTTTTTTTAATATTCACTACTTGTTGGGGATGATCCAATGACCCACCCTTACCCTCAAAAAGTTGGGGGAATCTCCAAGGGATTTACACCCTTGTCCGTTCCTTCGAATCACCCCGAACTCTTCCAAATCCCATGGCATAAGCGTCGCCGTAACTTTGTCCAGAGGCAGCTATGATTATTTGACACTTGGGGCGCTGTTCAACTGTAAACGAAGCCGTATACAGGGCACGGATCTGATAGTACATAATATTTCAAGACACCTTTCCGGTGGTTTTGTCAAAATTTCAGAAAATTTAACAGTTCCAAAATTACTCAGACAATCTTGTTCCCCCACCCCCGGCTCCGCACAAGTGAACCCCCCCCCCCCCCTGTTCTTCAATCCTCTTGTCTGCACTGTTACCACCTTATAGAATGCAAGGAGAAATACCGAGGTACCGAGGTTGAAAGAGAATCCAATGCAGTAATTAGTTCCCTTATCATTTCAGGGGAGAAACCTGCTGGTACATCATCCAAACGCTTTGGATCCCTGAGATCTTCACTTGGCGTCGGCTATATTCATGCATGATAATCTGCAAAGCCTTGTAATTATTTGACTGCACTGGTAAAGTCCTCTTAATTAAATAATTGTACTTCCTAAGGTAGAATGTGACTCATTCATTAAAAATGTTGATTGAAACAAAACGAATAGGGCGCGAGAGAAGATATTCACGTACAAAATAATGACCGAGTTAAAGAAGTGTCCCCGTGCTCTTAATTTTTTCCCTAACAAACTTTGAATGTGTTTGTTTTAATACTGTGTTCAGGAAAAACAGCTTTGTTTCTGATTTCAGGCGTCTGCAGCCCTCGCAAAAGGACGTTTTTGTTTTGCGTGTAAATGAACCCGCCCTCCAAGAGCCAAGTCATTGTCAAGCCGCAAATAATTCAAATTTTGTTAAAAACATAATTCAATAATTAAACATTGGTGGACTACCATGTCTCATTCAAAAGTGAATAACTTTCATGTCGCTATAGGTAAAAAGCATGAATATTACATTTTTTTCCGGTTTCACACTCGAAATGGATG